CACATTGAAAAAATCTTGTACAGTTTTGTGCAAAACATGTGCATTCCACGGAATATGAAGTCAGAGTAAATAAATCAGGCACATAAAGCTTTACAACTCACAACCAGCATGAAACAAAGAAAGACTATTCCAAGATAGTGAAGCAATTTACTCGATACAGACTTTTAGGAAACCACGATAAATACAACATCTCAATATATCATTCATAATAAATACTGGAAAGTAGAATGAAACACAGGATTCTTCACTGGATGCTGTGTCATTGTGTTTACAGCCTTCACACACCGTATGCTTTGGCACAATGAATCTGTACTGACAGGCTACGTTGATGCCACTGACACATGATCACCAGAGCGTCTGTGCTAAACCCCCAAGATCATAAACAGTGGGCAGATGTTTGTAAGCTCAGAAGAGGGACAAATACCTGTGATCATGCAGGAGCAAAGAGCTCAGCGACATATTACTGTACTGTTCACTGAATTATTGCAGTCTCCAGGTTGTTGAGCAGTAACCTTTTATTTCCCTTTTTCTGTCAGTGATTTTACAAAGATGTGGTAAAAGGTTATTTACAGATTTTTTGGGTGATGAAGTTTTATCATCTGGCTGTGGTTTTCAGTGGCTCATAGGACTCAGGAGTCTAAATAGAGTTAAATACTGATATGAATCATGTTTGATAATAAGCTTTGATTGTCAACCTCAACCATTTGTCCCTCCCCCCCCATATACAATTATTAAAACTGTGGCTTCTTGGTTTTTTTTTCAATAAAAAAACCAATGCATGTGAAAAAAGACAGTTAATTAAAACCAATCTCAGTCCTCTTAAAGAGAAAACCCTCAAACTATTGCACTTAACGTTTCACTAGATCAAATCAAGATCCACATAAACATCTTAGACAGCGTGATGTAGCTTATGCAGTGATTAACCCTTTTCTCAAATCAAGCCTGTCAAGCTAATTAAATGATAAAGACAGATCTATTGTCTATGATGAGTCATAGAGCTTCTTGTACTTTTAGAGATATGTCAAAGTGCTACTTTATAAATATCCTTCTGTTAATGAAATGCTTCAAAGGATAAATCTTCATTTGTTCAGTGAACAGAGGGAAGGAGACGTGAGGGGCCGTAGTTTTAAGTGCAAAAGGCTGTGAATTGATTCTAACATGTGTGATGACGTTTTATGCTATTGATGTTGTTTTCCAAACATACAAATAAGGGTTCAGGCTTTTTTTCATGCTTTTCCAAACCATAGAAAAGCATATAATAATAGTGACAAAAGAAGAG